ACACACCATAAGACCCGCTCTTCTCTGAACACAGTGCCTCAAGGAGCTGACTGCAAAGGTTGATCTTTACCTGCTATCCTCTTTCTGAGTCTGTAAGGTGTGGTAGACACAGTTCCTTCCTCTTCATTCTGTAACAGCAAAGAAAAAAGCATGCATTAGAAAAAGAAACATGTATCTTCTCAAAGCAGCCCTCTGCTAAACAAAGAGAATGAGGTTATACTTCCAAGCTATTTCATCCCACAAGAAACTGGGAAAGCAGTCAGCTGTGCAGACACTTCTAGTATGATGCTATACCATTTTAGAAAGCCAACTGTTTCACCAGCACAACTGGCTGTTCTGGACTACATTTCTCTGTAGCATCACAAAAGATGCTACCAGCTAACACCCTCCCCATTACCACAATTCATTTTTTTATAAATCTATGCTAAAGTAAGAAACTGAACAGCACTGCAGTTCTTAAATTCCTGTCCTAACAACACTCCTTACAACTTAGGCTGTTTCTTCCTTTGATAAGAAACTGGAAAGCTATGAGTTTAACTGCATACTATGGCACTGTCTAACGTCCTCATCTGTGTGATGCAAGGAATGAGTCTCCACCCCAGCTAATTAAGCTGCCAAACATACTATGTGCCCACTGACTCTAAATCCCATAGTCCTGATTAAGAGTAGCTCTGGTTCTCACTGGAGTTACTCCAGCCCAGTTGGATCAGGAGAGACATCTGTACTCTGAGTGAGGCTTTTCAAGGTCCCTCCTTTCCAGAACCACAGTAATTGGCCAGTTTAAGTTCTAAAAGTGAAGAAAACAAACAAAAACCCCAAACAAAACCCAAGCAAGGTAGTCACCACTCACATTCAGCTGCACTTTTTTTGAACTTGAACTTCCTGAAAAGCAAGAAACAGCATTGTTTAGAGCACTGAATATTTTCAACAGCAGCACAAGATGGTCCATTAGAAAAATGGGCATTCACTGTTCAAAGGTACACTGCACCAGAATATCAGCTGTGTGGTTAATCCCACGAGGGAAGTCTCTAATTTATCACAAGTAGGCAAGGACAGAACAAAGACAGTCAATGGTATTTCCACAGAAAGTAGCTTTTAATTCTGGTCACAATTTTGGGAGGCCAGCAGCAGCAGGGAAGAGGGTGAAAAACGAGCTGACGTACTCTCCCTGAGCACATAAGGCTCCATTTTTGAGCACAGAGTAACATGCTCTTGCCAGTGTTAACTTGCATTGACTTCTCCCACCTGTATTTCTCTCTACAGCATTGAATGCTTGAATATTATATAATAAACTGTCAATTCAGACATGAACACCCACACAATCCAGCCCATAGCTCTCTGAAGTGCAAGCATTGCTGCTGAACACAGAGGAAACCGTTAAGTGTTACAGCAACAGATGAGAGAGAAGTTCCTGTTTCCTTTACAGCAGCAGGGCAGAACCCAAGATCTGACACCCAGCTGAACCAGAGGCCAGGCATACCACGCAGTTCAGTCTATGTTAAGCTGACTAGAATAATCCAGCATGGCAGAAGCTGGCACTCACACCTCCACTCCAGCACCCAAGCAGAAACATAACCTCCATTCACTTAGTTTCAGTTCCCCAAAACATCACAGGACTTACTGGTGCTTTGAGGTGTTTTGGCTGTCTTCTCAGGGCACTCAGAGCGATCAGATGCAACACTCTGTACTGGTGTCTGGGCTAATTCAGAGGCTGCAGTAAATAGGAGGAATGGAAGAAGTTTATGTCAGGTACAAAACTCCCAGCTCTGGCTTGTCAGCCATGGAGCCGTACACCTGAAACACTCTCTTCAGGAAGTGCACCAGATGCTTCAGGTTTTTTTCTAACCCTGACGATGAATGTAATCCTAAACAAAGATTTTCAGCGACTGAAGTCCTCAGTTAATTCATTTTACAAGTACAGCCAAGGCAAAGGCAGAGCATGCTTTGCTCCCTAGGGGACCACGTCTTCAAATCAGAGCAGTGTTTGGTCACGCTGACTTAGGCCTGTAAAACCCCTCCACTGGACACAGCAGAGCATCAGGTCCAGCAAACACATCAGTTCCCCAGGAACTGGGTTCTTGTACTCTATTTACTTCTTTCTGCTACTTGGCAGAACAAGCTGAAGTTGAAGCCCCACATCCAGCTAAGAGTCCCTCAGGAGAGCCAGCCTTCCACTGTATGACTCGACTCCCTTTGAACACTGAGGCATGGCTCCAGGAGGGAACACCAGTGAAACTCACCCCGTGGCAGAGGGAGGTGTAAGCAACACAACTTCCCAAGACACAGCAGAAACGCAGAGGGCAAGTAACAAGGTATGGAAGTTTCTGCACAGTGATACAGAAGGGTGACCACTCTCCCTTGGATCCTCCTTCGTACTAATGAAGTTCGGATGGTGCTGGGCACACAGACTCTTCAAGTGAGAAGAAATGTAGAGGCAGCAGGACTCAAGGATGTTATTTGAAGACGAACACCTACCTTCTCCAGAACTGCCACTTTCTGCCTGCTTCTCCTAAGTGCACAGCTAGCCCAGCAGGCATGCTCAGACACTTTAAGTGGGACACAAAGCTAATATTGCCTTTTTTTGACTCTTTGCTATGTAATGAGTTATTCTCATACCCTCCTAAGGTACACAAATACAACCCCAGCCATCCTTTGGCAATTACATGCAGACTTTCTGCCAACATCAAGAAACCTGTAGTTCTTACGTGTTTGTTTATTATCTGTGTTCCTTATTCCCACCATGCCTTTGCTTTGTCCAAGCCCTGTGCTTCTGCTCCTTAGGAAGACTGATTCAGAGCCAGATAAAAGCTACTGAAGTACTGCAAATATATCTTTTGAATAAACAGAAGTGACAAATCATGTTAACACAGGACTCAAAAAAAAAAATCATAGCCACAGCAAGAGTGAAAGAAGAAAGAGGAAAACATACCCAGCTCTGACATTTTGCTGTGGCGTTTGGGAGTCTGGAATGAGAAAACTTCACCACCACTTACACTTGCATTATTTCCACTTGGGTCTGAGAAAAGAAACGTTACTTGTAGCTTTTCAAAAAGTGCTGGTATATGCCCAACCCAAGGAAGAAAGAATGCAACATTTTACTTATTTGGCTCAAAGCACTCTTTATATGCAGGTCTTATGAAATAAACATCCCAATAAAATCCTAGAATCATTACCTATCATATTCCCCTGCCAATACCTTGGACACATATTCCAAGAGCAGCAACATAGCTCTTCTCTTCCAAGATGTCCTGAGCTTCACCATCTGAAACATCCTCGAGCTTCTTCACAAATCTCTTTACACTGGCTGTCAGCCGAGTCTTGTCCTTCCGTGCTTTAACACCTAGGATTCCAATAAAAGCTTTAACCTCTTCCTATTTCATTACTTCAGGAGCATGCAGTTACCCCATTTAGAAAACAAGTTCCTGTTGTGCAAATCACTAAACACACAGAACACTGAAGAGATGTTCTGCTAAAAGAACAGCTGGTCTATGCCCTGGTGGTCCGTTGACCCTACAGCCATTAGTCACTCCTTTACCACTAAAGCCAGCCCTGGCAGTCCAGGAGGACAAGATCCCTGTTGCAGCACACACCAGTTTCCACCATTGGGGAGAAATGACAGTGACTCACAAATAGACATATCAAACCGCATGCAAAGGGATTGTATTTGACATGTTCTGTCTTCTCTAGCCAAGAGAAGTAAGTGGGAAAGACTTGGCCTACAGGCTATTATTGTACTCTCAGGAGAGTTTAGGCCGAGTCACCTCTGGGGACCATCTGTCCGACCTTCTGCTCAAAGCACGACTGACAGCGAGGTCACATCAGGGTGCTCCGTGCCTTGCAGAGGCAAATTTTAAGCATCTCCACAGAAGTTCTAAACCTTAAAGAGTCAAGACTGCAGCAGAAGATTCCTGTAGCAACCAACTCGAACCTCGCTCTGACGCGATCCCGTCCCCGTGTAAGCACGTCAGGAGCGTGGAAGTTAGGCAAGCTG